TGAAGCAAGAAATTAGCTATCCAACCGAGGATTAGGTCACCGATTCCACAACACTGCAGCTTGTGAAGGAGGATACGGTGGTTCAGACGGTCGAAAGCCTTTGAGAAATCCAGATATACTGCATCAACACCTCCGCCGCTGTCGACGGTCTCAGTCCAACTAGATCTGGAAAGCAGCAAGTTTGAAGTGCAAGATCGGTTCTTGCGAAACCCATGTTGCTCTTGTGCTATGATATTTCGTTATTCCAAGAAGTTCATCAGAGCTTCGGCGACAATCGCTTCCATGATTTTGGAGAGCAACGGTAGTAGTGTTATCGGGCGATAGTTGACAGGATCTGTACGACTTCCCACCTTATGGATGGGAGTAACGATGCCTTGCATCCACATTGTTGGTACGCACATCTCATCGAGGCATCGTTGGAAGAACTTGCAGAGGGGGTCCGCCAGGTTTACTGCAACCAATTTCAACGCTTTTGGACGAATATTATCAACACCGGGAGAGGTATGCTCGCGCAAGGCAATTAGCCTTTTCATGACATCCGCAGTCGTAAACGTGATGTGGCTGAGTCCTGGTGGTGGTACAACGATTGGGAACAGTGTATGCAGCGATGTCGTGCTCTGGAATTTCTGGGCGAATTGTTGACATGGGGCGTTGGCCGCCTCGGTTGCGTTTTGTGCAAGTCCACACAGTGTGTGTAAAGCAGGTATTCCTCGCTGTACTTTGCGGAGCTTGTTAACGTGTCTGTACAGGAGCTCGGGGTTTGAAAGAAATTTCTCAGCTAGATTCTGTTGGTGCTCTATTTTATCTTCGCGTATCAGGTTTACGCAGTGATTCCTTTGGATAGTATAGGCTTCCCATGTTTCTGCACTCGGTGACTCTTTGTATCTTCGCCAGAGTAAATTCCTCGTGACGATACACTTGCGTGTCCTGCTGCATACGAATGATTTTACTGTCTTCGCTCGCGAAGGTCTTTTCCAAAAGCACTAGTTACTAACGTGTTGAACTGGTGAGCAAATTCAGACCAGGCGATATCAGGGGATCGTTCTGCTATAAATGCCCAGTTTGTAGCAATTATAAGTTTGACTAGAGCGCCGTAATCCTTAATGAGCTGGCATTCCTCGGTGTTTTCTGAAGAATACTCTGCATAACAGATGAACTTGAACATGAGGGTTGCATGGTCACTACGGCCTAAAGGACTCTCTATGGATACCGTTTCGATCATAAACTCTTCATTAGTGAATACGAGATCCAGGACACCCGGTTTGTTTCCCGTCCTGGATCTTGTGGGAGATGTGATGTGATTGTAGTGTGGTAGCCCACTGAGTATCTCCTTACTTCCATTTTGAAGTGTTCGTTGAAAAAGGCTGGGGTTTCTATGGTGTGAATATTGAAGTCGCCAGCCAGGAGAATGTGGCTGTACGACTGCGAGAAAATGGTCTTCATTGTGGAGGCTAGGCGGTTGTCCATTTCCAATGTAGCCGACAGAGGGCGATACACCACACTAAACAAACACGCGTCCCCACGGCTAAGTTGAAGACGACACCAAAGCGCATCGACAATCTGAACCTATGGGTCATCGATGAAATCAATGTGTAGTTCGCTGCGTTAATAACGTACTACTCCACCTCCTCTACTTGGTCGATCGTTGCGTAGAATAGACATCTCAGGTAGTGCGATTCCTACATCAGTGATCGCTTCATTCAACTACGTCTCGGTTATCATAACGAGGTCGCTTGACATCGAGGCTGACGCGGGCGAAGCACCGTCAGTTTGCTTAAAAGACTTGGTGCGTTGGTATAAAAACAGGAGAGTGATTCATAGGCTAGAAGGTTACTTGTGGATATAGACAACAGGTTTGAGACTTGGCCGACCCTCTTGAGGTCGGTTGCTACTAGTTTTTTGAAATTGTCTCAGGCTCGCGAGAATGACTTGGGATAACTCGCTGCACCTTGTGATCAGATTCATGATGATCCTGATGGTCACTCACCTTCTGTAGTGCCTCGCCGGATACTATGACGGCAGTCAGATAAGTCTCTGTGGTGGACTCTACAACAACGGTTGTTCCCACTGGGTTGGTTCTCTCCATGGAGTAACCAGTAGCCTCTGGTCGTAAACCTGCTGCTTTAATTCGAATTTCTGTCGGTAGCATGTTCCGGAATTTACCCCATTTCTCTAAAACTGCCTGTAAAGTTAGTTCAGACGGCAAGACCAACTTCAGCAATCTAGGACCACACCCTTTGTAAGTTGGTGACACAGGAATCCTGGTCAGGGAGGTAGCAATGACATTTTCTAAAGACAGTACCTCACGAATGTATCGCCATTGCTCCAGGTCATGTGCCTGAACTTCTTCAGGAGGTGAAGCTTGAGACTTGGGGACGCCATGAATAATGACGGATTCAGCGCGTGTTTTCTACTTCCCTGTTGATTGTTCATATCCTTTGAACGTTCTTTCCACGGAATATCCGGTAAGATACATATTCCGTTCGATGCACTGTGATGTCGATTTGCAGCGAGCAGAATAGATTCCGTTTCTTCCGAGGAATGTAGTGTTACTCGAAGAAGTCGAGGTTCCCCGTAGTGTAAGTTGTTTGGATGTCTTGCGATGCGGCTCAGCGTAGTGGGTTCAGCGCGCATGCTGATGGCACTACAGATGGAATCCCACTGACAACGATCGTCTATTAGTTTGCCCTTTATTGTGTTGGATTTGGATTCAGGAACGTTAGTGCACACAAGACTTAAGGCACGATGATTCCGCCTTGTGGTTTGCGACTTAACAGCACTAGGTTCTTTTGCTTTTTGTGGATTTGTGAACCGCACAGTTGTGACCTCTCCGATAAGTGAAGTCACAGGCGTCTTTTTAAGGTGACAGCGGGCATCCTTGTCTCACACCGCTGGAGATATTGAAGGGTGGCGACAGCCTGCTGTAAGCCCTTACTCTGCCCGTGCTACGCGCATATAATGCTTGGATAATATGTACATAATTCTCTGGCACACCTTTCCTGAGTAAACAATTCCAAAGGGCACATCGATCAACCGAATCGAAGGCACCTTTGATGTCGAGGAACGCGACTACGGTGGGCCGCCAATATGTGTGACGGTGCTCCAACAACTGACGCAAGGTGGTATACGCGTTTCCAAAGTGCAGGTGACAGGTTTGTCCGCCAGTGTCGCCATCGTCCGATGGCAGTGACCTTAACCACTGAATCGATAGTGAAGGTTTGCGAGTTATAGCCCACAGAGGACAGACAGGTGAATAACTTGGAATCGAGAGAACGGTCAACTAGTGCTCTCCTGAGTAATGCCAAGGCCGTCTGACAGCCTAACTGTAACCGACCCCTTTCTCAACCATTCGTATTTATTGAAGTCCTATCACCTCAATTACTGATCGTAGGAGTCATTTGCTACTTGCGAACATTATTGGACTGCGTAGTCTTTCGTGATCTCAACTGGTGTCTTTATGGAGGAAATGTTGTGTCCATCCGCCCTCTTTCTTGTCGTGCTTTGGTGTTGCTTACATTCCCATGGGTCAGCAATCTGGTGGTACCAGCAGCACGCCGGTGGGCAGTACCAACGTTTCACTGCCACGCAACCACCGACCGTCGCGCGTGGGCCAACGATACTGCGATGGTCACTCGATCCCCTGCGCAGGCTCGAACACGCGCCCTCGGATTACAACGCAGGCTTGTGATCTTTTAGGATAGGTCTCGTCAGCAAGATCCTCATTTACATCTGCAATCGAAATTTTAGTAAATCACACTGGTTTTCCCAATGTGCGAAACAGTTTTTCGACAGTACATTTCCTTCGAGCAACTGCTCGATCAGTACGACAACTGGTCTTATAACGGAACATTGCACTGTAGGTACGGTGGACGTATTAAAAGGTTCAGCACACTAAGTCAGTTTACTGAACAACGCTTTACTGCCGACTGGATTGGATTCTCCAAATCTATTCTCCATTCACCGGGTGGAACTTTCACTCTTAGCAAAGGAGCTGCGATCGATCACTAATGATCGCCACCATGACACTGTTCAGGGGAATGGAGTGACACGAGATTCTTGACCCATTGCAGTCGCCGTGATTAATTCATGTTTTCGGGCACCGTTCCATGGCCTTGGGAATCACCGTCTGGATGTACTAGAGTGGGAATTTTCACTTGCACGCTCTTTGGCGATGGGCCACCGCCACAATAAATCGCGGCTACTCGAATCGAAGGTGGTATTGGAGTTTAAGTGAACTATCTTGGCTGACCATCATCTATATGCGTAGCGTCGCTCCATCGTATGCTTGAGCGTAAATGTATGGTTAAGTTCAACTTCCCAAGACATAAGCCAACTTGCGCCCCAAAGACCAGCAGGCTGGCCACCTACGATGCCTGTGGTCGTTTTGGTGACAATATTGCTTTCTCGATAAGAATATCAAAAGACGAGTTTCTCACTGAACACCGTTCACATGGTCAACCCCGATGCATCATTTTCAGTCCTCATACGCTTTCAAAGGCATAACATTCACAAGCTCACCGGGACCGTCCTCCATTGAGAGCTTTCCCGCGCTGGTTTCAAAATCAGCTGACAGTGACACTAGGCCCACCGTGGTTGCGTGTATCGCACCAATCGGAGAATTACTGGTCACCAATCGATATCCTGTTACCTTGTTTTGAATTATTTGTCAGCTGCATGTACGTGACCGAGGCGAATGCACAAAATGACGCTATCCTTCTGATATTCGTATTTAGACTCGTAAACGGAATTCCATGTTTCTATTGTCGATTTTACTAATGTTTCGCTTCTTTCCAACTGCTTACTGTTCGCTCTTTCTAACGCGGTGCATGGTAATGGACCAGGTTCATTCTCAGGGCGCTATAGTTTTGATGATTGTGTGGCGTCATTATGTTCATATTTTTGCCACCTTTATATGACTTGCTGGGACTTAGAGTAGGAACTTCCGGAAGCGCCCACCTTCTATCCAGCACATCCATTGTGAGTCTTTCACTACCCCTGTAATGAAGCTTATCACAAGCAGTCTGGATGAATGTATTCGGCGTCATCTGGTGGCATTGGGGTCGGCAATCTCGCATCTACATCGGGTTTTCAAGGAAACTGCTGGCGACGCAAATTCTCTGTGCAAAGTGAATGCAAAATGTTCAAACATTGGTGCATCTCTCCAGGAGCATATAAACGGTGCTTCGGGTGGATTTTCTACCTGGATTTTTACATGAATAGTCATGTAGTAGTCCTAAGCAGGAAACACACATCATTATTATGATTAGTCGAACTGACGGAATTACCATCCCGACCTAGTGGTTGCTGGCACCCATTCTTGAACTATATGGACTATGTATCTCATACTTTATTCGGTTGTACTTCTTTTCCAACCTCCGGGGAGGTTTACTCAGATCATACTTTAATTTTTTAAAAACAGGTTGTCCTTTGCTTCTGTTCGGTGTTGCTCCCTCAGAATGTTTACTGGCCTTCTTTGTTGATCTCAAGGGCCCAAATCAGAGTACGCTGGTCCCATATACACATTCTATGACTTCACCGAGTCCTCGTCAGTATTTCTTCATCGTCCTCTGTTCTTCCATGCAATCCGTTTCGTAAAAGCATGCAGAAATTGGCTGACAGGCTTGCACAAGCTAGTACATGCTTCCTTGCTGGATGGGAGTCTTGTGATCAACAACCGCAGGAGTCACACATCTCAGCTAACATGATGCAGTCATGGGATCAATGATACTGCTTCATTCAATCTCTTGTATCAAGCGATTGACATTCCAACCCGGCGAATTTCACCTACCCCAGTGTCTTAACCCTATTTTCCGCGCATTACGTTTCACGTCTTTCCCCGTTTTCACCTATTATTATTATTATTATTATTATTATTATGATTCATGGTAAATGGACTCACCACCCTCCGGTTCTCGGACGGTTGTTGTTTAACAACCATACTATGACGATGCATTCCGTTCCTCCTTATTTCTCTCTACTTGTAGTGTTCACCGCTGTCTGATTCGGTTAGCCGCACGCCATCTGCACCCTATTCAGCTCCATCGGAGCCTTCTTCACTTACCGGTGCCCCCATGTCCACCACTGAACCACTCACTTCCAAACCGATCTTACCTCTTGCGAGTGTTCCAGATCTCATTTGCTCTGCCAGTATTCTCTCCTCTTCGTCAACTCAACGGCCCCTCGAGCCAACCGTTCTCGTGGAGTGCCAAACTTCCAGCTCAGCGGTCAGCATTGATTCATTTGACGACCGGGCTGATTCTCCGGCTGTTTCTCCGGCTCATCTCCATCGTTCCCCCCTCATCGCTTCTCATCTTCGATCAGCTGGTGATCTGCCATCACTCCATCAGCCTACGTCATTTTTATCTTCTTATCAGACGTGAGTATAGATTTCACCGTTAGATATCACATCTTCTGCTGTCGCTTAGCTTTCGCCAATGAACTATCGCTTATTTCAATCTTTACTAACCGCGCTTCATCCAAACGGTGTTCCAAGTGCCGAAATGTTTTACCGTGGCAAACCTAGGGACTTGGATTCGAATCCGGTGGGGTTTATTCTCCCATGCTGGGTCGCATGTCACCTTCGCACGCGACAGATGTCGGTTGCCGTGTGAAAGTTGCTTGTTACTTTTCTCGACAGTAGTGACTTACATGAACAAGCTTCGTTCTCGATTATACGTTTCCTGGTAAGGCTATGTCGATCTCTTAACATTTCTACTACCGTATTTTTCGGACGATAAGGTGCACCAAATTATATGACGCAGTATCAGTGCACGGATCTAATTTCATATATAAGGCGCATAAAGCAAAACAAAATACTCGGATAGGTCAGACTTACTTCAACTCATTAGCAACAACTGGTTATATTGCTTGTAACACACATAAAACAGAACAATACACTTACTTTTACAACCATTCCTCTTCTACAAATCCGTCAACTTCATCTTCAGTGTCTGAGTTTAACAGTTGGGCGATAGCGGCATCAAGCGAGCCCGGATCCATCTCGTCATCATCTGAGTCAGTTTTGTTGCTGTCGCTTGGCTGTTCATCGATGTTTCCGACCTTCGTGAAAGCTCGGACGACAGTTGAGACCGATATCATGGCCCGGACATCGACGATCCATTGGCAGATAGTGGCGTAACTAGCCCGGCGTTGCCTGTCTTGGTAAATATGTGCTCACCTGTTATCCAATGCTCCCACGCGGCTAGCAATTTAACATTGAGCGCCCGGTTGACACCAATATCTAACGGTTTGAGTTCTTTGGCTAATTCTTCCGGAATGATAGCAAGCCCCGAATTGGCTTTCTTCACTTGGCGTTTGACAGTTATGGTGAGATGGGCGCACATGGAGTGGTAAATCAATAAGGACGGAGATGTGTGGAAAAAGCCACCCGGTCTCTTGACGTAAACTTCGCTGCGCTACTGGCTCATTTTCTCTTCGTCTATTCAGCCTTTTGGGTTGACCTTAACGGTGACCGCAACAGCAAACCTTTCTTTTGGCGAAGTCTTCCTCTTTAAAATAACCATGAGTGGTCATTTCTGGCTATTAGCCTGGTAACCGAAAACTAGAGTGAAGGTTGATTTCTCGTTCCCTGTGGTGCGTATAGATACAGTAGAAGTCCCTGGTTTTTCAACAGTGCTGTTCACGGGGATGTCAAAGCTGAGAGGAACCTGATCCATGTTTGTGATATGGTCTGGCTGGATCTTCTTTTCGGTAATCTTGTTCTTGCAGTAAGTGCGGAAGATGGCCAACTTTTCTTCGAGGTGGTAGTTCTTATGCGGATGGAGAGATGACGTCTTTTCATAAAACGGAAGCCCCAAGAAGGACCTCCTTGAAAGTCGTTCATCTTCATATCACGTGCCATCGCTATTGCTTTGCATCGAATGGAGACTGTAGAGACGCTTCTGCCTGCTGTTCTATGTTCAGTAATCCAATGCCCAACTTTGTCCTCTAACTGTGGCCATCTTGCTTTGTTCCGTCGGAAACTCTACTTTATCTTTTTTACTTGGCGCGGCTCATCCTGCTTCTTCTAATTCCTTACCATTGATTCATTAATGTTGAATTGTTTCGCAGATGATCTATTCCCATGTCGTACTGCCTGGCTGATGGCGTTGCGTTTGAAATCCGCTTCCTGAGCATGTCTCTTAACATATGTCATTTTGGGGTCCTGCACAAGGTGCACTGTCGTTTTTTAGCAAATATAATGATTTTAAGTGCGCCTAATATTCCGAAAAATACAGTAATTAAATTTAAACATGTCGATACCGAGCGACCAGACATGACGAAAAAGTTGACCTAGTCTTGCAGCTAGTGAGTCGTTACATTGACTGAGGCATTCGCACAACCGAATATGTGCATTTGTCTTTCCGTTTGTCACTCACCAACCGTGGTACATACCCGGCTACTTCCTTGACTATTTTCGCTCCGATACGCCTTTCACCCTTACCGTGCATGCTGACTGCTTCAAACGAAATTTGTTGCGCCTTGGAAGGGATTCCAAACGAGACTATTAGTCATCCCGGATTACTTCCCTCGATATTGCAGCTCGATAGGGTGAGAAAATATTAACAATAAAGGGAGTGCGACGAAGCATAAGTAAATCTGCCAAAAAGAATTACTTTCATAAATGATTTTGAATGTCTACGTTTTATGCCTACTTAGTAGGCTTAAGTCTACCACTGTTCTAGAAGATTGCGCATTTGAATTGTTGTGTCCCCAGGGGTTCGAGTTAGCAGCTTCTTAGTTTGCGCCACGCGAGTCAGAAGACAACGTAGCGGACAGGAAGTATATCTGCGAAACACTGCACGGGCCGACGTGGGTATGAAAACACTGATTACAGTTCAAATCACGGCTGAGGGCTAATTTGAATTTATCGATCTCAATGAATCACGGGACATGTGAGTGATATGAAACAAGCGATTGTGACAAATGTTCTGTCACACAGAAAAACTAGTCTGACTGTAACTGAGACTGTTCTGATACAAGGCACGGAGCGTGGTGAAGTTTTATTACCACCAATATAACATGAATGACATTATTCTGTGAGTAAGGCTACCGGAAAATTGGAGGCCCAGTGTGGGGCAGTGTACCCATGTTGTTTTTTGTTGTGGCTTCTGCCGACCGTACCTGCGACTATTGCCCAATCTGAACTGGCCGACTTCCCGGATCAGAAGACATAGGCTTTTGGCAAACAGGGCATACAGCCAACAGATGGGATCTAAATAAATAATTCATAGGAAAACGACTTAGCTGAAGGATCCTAGTTTCCAGCAATTGATAAATGCCTGAAAATGCACTTGCTGGTCACCGAAACCGCTCGCTCACTGAATGTTTTCAAGCTACGTCATTCTCACTGGACTTCAAGGTGAAATGCCCTCATTGGTTATCCAATTGGTTCCATGCTGCATCGGGCTGCTAGCGAAAGGACCGGTTTTGAAGGCTTCTATGGGAATGCTCCCTTGACAGTTTTCCAATTCGGTATCCGTGAGGGTTTGAAGATGTACCTGAATGTGGTGAGTGTGGACTAGTTTCACCGGGTTCCGCTCTCATCTGAATGTTTACTCGATAGCCTCGACTGAACGGCTACTTGACCACCGGAAATCTATAGTTTAGAGGGTTTCTTCAGTGCACTATACAACTGCAGGCGGTTGCACACGGTCTGTGGAACTACAGGAGCGTCTAAACCGTTGTAGGAAAGGGAACCTGAACTTGGGATGCAGTGATTACAAGTCGGATACTTGGTCCGCTAAACCACAGGCCGATTAGCTGGGGAAGTTGTGAACTCTTATCAGCGCTATCAGCACATTGCCCTTTGCAGCACAAGGTATGGACCATAGGTATCGATTGGGCGAGGTGAAATTAAGTGTGTTATCCAACATGGTCTGCACCTTTCGGTTTATTGTAGTCAATCCTTATCGAAACGAAATCGAGTGCGTGGAACCGCCACTGTTTCAATACAGTTGAAAAAATTCAGACATTGAACCATGCATCTTAGGTTGCTTAAGTATGCCGGGTGGCCTCTCTCAAAGTCTTATGTTAGTGTGCAAGTCAGTGCGATAAGGTTTGCAGAATTGGTTTTCGCATGATGACTGGTACGCACACTCCAAGACATTCTAAAAACAGAACCGCCTATACCACCTGTACTAAGGAGTCGCACGCAGGATTTTCCAATGTATCGTACCCAACAAGATCCTAGCTCCATGTTGGATTTTGCAGTAACCCCCGTGTGTTTGGATTACGATACGTAATCTTTGCTTCGATCTCGGTCCACTCTGATATGGACCTCTCTCATTGGAATCACGGGGACCGTGTCCGAAGCTGAGTTTCTGACCTTGCTTTCCTCTAACCTTGCACTCCGTGACCGGTTTCATCCTCGTTTAAGTTCCTCTGGTAGAGATAGCCGGAACTGGGAGTAGAATTCCGGGCGGCTGGAGTCCACTGAGCTTTGCAAAACCTTGAGGAGCACGATATTCGGTTTTAGACTAACCTCCGAGTGTATTATGATTGCGACACTAATCTCTGTTCACTTTGAAATAGGCATAGCCTACTCCGGTCGCTGGGACCGCATTCAGTTGTCTCTATCTGATGACGCAAACGGTTCACCCGGTGGATCCAGAAGGAATACGAAGCAAGAGAGCTAAGAAAGAGCGGGCAAAGCTAATTTGGATGGAATAATAACGTCTAAATACATGAAACCGATTGTAGGATGGCCACAAATTTCGCGGCTGCGAAATACTTTCACCTGCTGATGTGGCCGACTCCGAGTACTCCATCAACGAAGATCCCATGCACCAGCCTGATCAAGCATTTTGGTAAATTTCTTTCTACCTTTGTGTCTTTTCAACGTTTGGCCACCTTGCAGTTTCACCCACTCAGGTGCGGTGAAAGCAAATAATGCACGTCGAGGAAATTGGTCAATTGACAGGCAACCAAATTCTTAGGACACTGAGAAATCCAACGAGTCAGTGCCGGAACTGAATGCGGACCACCAGAAATATAGCAAAAATGTCCGGAGCTGGTCAAAGCTCAGCGGAATTCAAAAGTCTTAGCCGGTGGCAAGTAAACTGTTTCAAACTACCCTCAAAATAAAGGGATGGAAACAATTTCCGAGGCAGTCAAAGTGGGTCCGCTGCAAGTCAACTGAGACTGATCACTAGACCGCACACAGGGATTCAACTAAACGAATATCAGTAGCATGGGCCCAACTTTAGGGAGGAGCGTTGATTGGCTATCAATCAAGGTCACGAAACAGTATGAGCGCACAGGCGGCTTGAGCAAGAGCACACGTGTAGTCTGAGTGAGTAATCAACAAAACTGCGGGGTGGACAGCTCAATGCGTCTGGACAACGATCATTTTTATGAGAAGGATTGTAATGCAGG